ATTTGGTGATTGGTAACTCGTTTCTTGTAAAAGTCCTACAATTTCAGAGGGATCAAAAAAATGGGCCCCTGTTTGTGCATTTAGGGTTAAAGGGATACGCTGGGATTTTGGCAATGAGGCCCTTTATCTACATACTTCCCCAGAGTCAGATGAACTAGTGGATACCATTTTTATGTCTCATTCTTTGAATGAAGTTGCTAACTAGCGCTAGCGCAATTGCTAACTGGCGTTAGCGCAATGACTGGAAGGCTATGGGTATCTATGTGTCTATGTAGCATGTCGATACCCATAGACTTCCAGTCATTGCGCCAATGCTAGTTAGCATTGGCTCACGAAACTACCTCTAACTTCCTTCATACTGGACACAGAGACATAAAAATGGTATCCACAAGTTCATCTGACTCTGGGGTGGTAGATACATTTCCAAAATCCCGAAGTATCCCTTTAAATTAAACATCCTCCTCACAGGGGATAAATGACATTAGAGACCCTTCGAACCACACTTTATTATACAGTATCTCATTATTTTCCTCGTGCTCAGCTCTGGTTATTTACAATTCGTTAACAACACGTAACGTAATGCCATTAGATATTCAGAGTCATACCTTTTACTTGAACAAGAACAATGTTTTGGATCTCAATACTGTAAATGTTTTCCATGATGTATCCTATCACCGGAGCAGATCAAATCCTAAATTCCCATTTGTCATAGTTTTTTTTTTTACAACTTGAAAGGTGTTCAAAGATGTTAATGAAGATTCTATAAATCTAATTTCATTTATTACAGTATTGCCATTCAGCTTACAACACCTTAACTATGTAATGATGGTCCTATTCACTCTGTGAGACTGAAATCATCACTCCGATTGGGGAAAAGTTAAATCAAGGATGGAGCGTGTCCTTAGTTGGCCCGTGTTGGGAGGTACAGTACTATGAAAGTCACACCTGTCCATTTCCAAGGAGAAGACCCTGGTGCCTGCATGCTAAAGAGGCAAGAGTGATGAGGTGAGAGAGAAAAGGAGACCTAGGCATAATAGTCTCTTCTCACGGTACAGTATCTCCACCATGAGGAGCACCTTGAGTCTGATGAAAGAGACTACAGGCATTCTATCCCCCAACAAATAACCCTAAATAACCCGTTCTCTGCTTTCCTGAAGGGAGACACACTAGAGAGCCTGACCTGAACTTCCCTCTCAGACTTCCTCCTAAGTGGAGTTCACCCTACTGCTAGTAGTGTCTGAAACCCTGTCCACCTTCTTTTATCCCTCAGTTGTTTATCAAAACAAGGGGCGCGGTTACCACTTCTTTTTATTTTTTTTGCCCCTTTAAGGTCTATGCAGGCTATACTACCTGCCTGAAGTAACCAACAGACCATATTATTTTGTATTGTGTATGTATCTAAATTAATTCAGGATTTTTCTGTCCTTGCAAAGTGTGCTATGATATAAGTGTATTTGAGGATAGCGGAGTTATCCGTGCTACAACTCTTTCAGTAATGGTGACTGAGTATTAAAAGTGTTGTTTTCTGACAGATGTCAAGGAAGGTATTCTGTGTGCCTTGTACCAGATGTCTCTATTCGTTCTTAAAGTTGTCAATAGCTGTGTGTCATCAAGATACAGCTTAGTGTATTGAAAGACAGTATGCTCAAAAGAGCAGTCAAATTGCTGTCAATTAAATTAATGTTTAGCTATGGGATGGCAGAGAATGAAAAACTAACTCTGACTTTAGCTTGGGATGACTGGTGACGTGGTTTACTCTGTTGGTGTTAAGTTGCGAAGTTGACTTAACGTGGACATGGGCTTTGCCAAGCGGCAGTCAGTGCTCCAATTATCTGTCTTTATACTGTATCTTCAAATTAAACCTGAGTTGTTGACTCGTGAGGCGATAATTCCTCATATCCAGACAGTGATAGGGTTCTCTTTACCTGTTGTCTTTCTTCATGTTACTCGAAGTATCTAGACTCGTCGTTCGTAGGAAAAACATATCCCCCCTGACTGTGGGGCTGGGTTCCAATTCTCTACCCTTCATCCAGAAGTGTGCAATCGTTCACTCCTCCTCATGTATTTAAAATCATTGGATTGGTTCAAGCATGGCTAGAATGAGTTTCCACAATATTCCATCCAAAGTCCTTTTAAACACATGAGTGTGAGTACAAGTAGGCACTTCGGGAGAAGGGTAGAGAATCGGAACGCAGCCTGACATTTGGATTCAGAATTGACCTCGTAACCTTCAAAGTTGCTCCTGCTGTTTCCTGCATCCTCTCTCCCACTGCGAGGAGGCTTCAGGGCAGGGCTCTCCAACCCTGTTCCTGGAGAGCTAGCTACCTTCCTGGTTTTCGCCCCAACCCCAGCTGTAACTTTCCTGATTCAGCTTATCAACCAGTTCATTATTAGAATCAGGTGTGCTAAATTATGGGTTGGAGCAAAAATCTACTGGACAGTAGCTCTCCAGGAACAGGGTTGGAAAGCCCTGCTCCAGGGTCATATTCATTAGGGCATGTTTTAAAACATTTTGCAATTGATCCAAGTAGTCCCTCCCTGTTTCATTCTGTTTTCTTACATTTGGTACCTAATGAATACGACCCTGCTTCCTCTCTCCCACTTTGGGAAGGCTTCACTCTCTCCTCTACGCAGTCCTCTTAGAGCTCTCCAAGGCCTGGGGGTTTCATTTGATCGCAAGGAATGGAGCCCGCTTGCCCTTTACTGTACAAAGGAAAATCGTGAGTAAATCGCCACGCCCATTTAGACAACTGGCCTCATATCTTCAGTATGGCTGCCAGGAAGGAAGAGGAAGGAGGTGTAAGGAGGAGGAGCAGTGTTGCTTATGAATATGTATCTAAAATAATATATGTTTACTACTTATAAGGTGTTTATTGATGATTTACACCCGCCGATGGGATATTTATTTACACCCTTGATTCTTTGAAGGTATTAAAATAATCAAGTAACTACAAAGTAACAGTAAATAACTTCCTAACAGATGGTATGCTCATTTTGTATTAGTTTCAGGTCTTTAAAAAAGTGTAGAAAAAGTATCAAGACAAGTCAATTCTGGCTGAGCAACAATCATACAAAACCACCCTCAGTGCACTGAATAAAAATAAATACATTTTTAACATAACACGTTATTAGTCTGGGAGGCTCTATTCTACAAGCCCCAATTTTATGAATGCGCTGATTTGAAGTTTCTCCTCCGCCCATAATAACATAGCAGGTGTTCCTCACTATAGTTTGGTGACGGCTTGCGACCGTTTATTTTTAAACCCATTCCACTTTAGTGGACAATTCCACAGCTGAAGGAGAGACTACCAGGGGTACCAAGGCATTCAACCTGTTGTTCCCCTTGTGCCCTCTCATACCGGGCAGAAGCCATCTTGGGACACCAGGTGTTAGGTGCGCTATCCCCCCCGGCCAGGCTGCCAGGCTATGCTTGCATCCTTACTAAAGATGCTAAAATCATTAAAACTCTAAAGTGGGTTTGGGACCCAGGGGACGGGTGCATGCCAGGGAGGGAGGGGGTAAGGTTTGGAGGAGTGGTGGAGTTGGTGGGGGTCCTGCTGGATTAAGGTGCTGTAGGATGCCTGGGGAGAGGACTGATGACAGCTGAGGGAGTGAGCCTTTCTCTGGCTCTGCCTCCATGCAGCCATGGGGTCAGGGAAAGCGGGTGGGCTGGGGGCGGAGGGTGAAGGGTGGAGGTATTTCTTTGGTCCCGTCTTTACGAGGCCCTTGTCATGGTTGGGGGTGGGATTAGTGCCCCGGCCAGCCTCTTGAGACTGATATAGACAAGAGGAAGGAGCTAGAATTCGCTCCGTTGGTCCTGCCCGGTTACTGGCATCGGCAGCTGAGGCTCAGGCCCCCCTGATCTCCCATCACCTACCCCTAATACCTCACACATCTCCTAGACATGGAGGACACCCAAAGCTCAGTGGTCATTCTGACCACCACCCTTGCCTCGCGACCCCATATGGGGTCATTCAAAGGGAGATGGCCAATCCTCCTCTGCCTCCCCTGGTCTAGTCATGGGTGACTATGGCCCTGGTCAAAAGTAGTGCACTATAAAGGGGTGCCATTTGGGCCATAACCCTAGTCTTGGTTCTGGGTGACCCACTCCCCCATTTCCCCCCTCATCCCCTCAGGTCAACTGCAGGAAGTGCCATGCCCCTGTCATTAGCTCTGCTACAAATAGAAACTGTTCCTTTTTTTAAAACTGAGATCTTCTGAGGGATTTTTACCAAGTAGAGTGATTGCCTTCACATAATCATTTCAACAACCCATGAAGCACGACTGAGTGAGGAGCTGATTTCACTGTCATTCATCATAGAGAGATATAAGATGTGTCACCGACTGTGGGATTGTATGTCTCTGACTGTGTGTGCGTGTTTGTGTGCGTGTGTGAGAGAGAGGGAGAAAGTAGGCATTTACATTCCGGTTTTACATTTCATCTCAAGTTATGAAAATAGCCTAGGGTGCACTAGAAGTGATAACATAACGTGGGCATTGACATCAGAAATAGACCACATTTGAAGTAGTCCTATCTCTGATTTGTTATTCTCTACTTGGGCCTATTCTATTCTATTCTCTAGCCTATGTTGTTTTAAAAATGAAGGTATGGTGATGCCCCTGAATGAAATCCATCCTTGGCTGGTCAAAAAGTTATATTCTATTCGCACTTTATTGTAATGTTTTCTATTCTATTTCTATTCTGTTCATCAAGTAGTCTTGGCTATTGGGAAAATGCATGGATGAAAAAACAAACGTGCATCTCACTACATGCATCTAACCCACATCTGACTAGAAGAATAGAAAGCTTACGTTTGATTAATATTGAAAACTGAACAGTCTCATTGCCACTGATAGCCCAATAGATACATTTCCTCATACCGAGAGACACGGGGAAGGATATTGCGCGAAGTTGTCATCACACACACAAGACTGATGCATTCCTTGGCTCAGCCGATATAAAACAGTGGCAGAAGAAATTAGGCTATCATTACCGGGCGGCTGCCCGTTAGGTTACCGGGTAACCACGGACGACCTCAATCACCGCTTCCCATGTTTTCCTTTTTTCCCACAGCTAGCATTGTTTTAAATAAACATCTTCTGACGCTCATCCTCGGCGGCGACTTACATGGGGTGTCCCTATTCCATGTATAGAACGGCCCCCCACGCCTCTCCTGACTCTGGCCAATCCGGTCCCTTGGGCTACTTTGACGCGGGTGCTGTGTAAAATATACTCATATATATACGCCCAGATGCTCCCTTCATGTTCCGAGTCTCCTCCAAGCTTACGCGGGAACTGTCTGTATAACAAACTTACTCTCTGCTAAAATGGCACCCAAGAAGGACGCTAAGGCGGCACCCGCCAAGAAAGCCGAGCCTGCAAAGGCAGCCGCACCCGCTCCCGCACCCGAGCCTGAGGTGGTAGCCGCTCCCCCTCCACTTGACTTGTCCACAGTCAAGGTAACTATGTTCTTTCTGCCTTACCCTACCTCCTCTAGCCTATCCCCTGCATTCTCCCGCTATCCCGCTATCCTATAGGCTACTTTGTCTGTCTGCAAAATAAAAATTTAGATTAGGCTATTCTTTCATGAGTCACAATATAATTTCAATATTTACATTTACTAGGCTTTATTCGTTACTATGCTTCTTTAGAGTCTCTCCATTGTATATGTGAGATGCAGCCTGTGTTTGGCCTGGTCGTTCATTGGAGTGTGTTTTTCTGAAGTTACAGTATCGTATGGTTGTCAGTGAAAGGCCATTATCACTACATAATTGATGCTACAATCATATGGGCCTAGGCTACACATTATATGAGAATGTAAATCTCAATTCAATTTAAATATAAAAAATTGATTGCCTATCTATTTGTGTGCTGTTAGGATATTGTAGGCAACTGTTACTTATTAGGCTATCTTTAGGCTACCTATTTCAACCTATGGAGTTACCACAGTTTTGAAATAGTTTAACCTGAACAAAGTAGGCCTACTGTTGTATTTGGACAAATAATTATGTTGGGATTATTTTTGCATGTTTTCCATAATGTAGCCTATTCTTGTAACCATACTTGACAAGCAATAGCGAAATGGCAAGACTGCTCTCATGAGACGGACCTAATTCTGAAGCAGGATTAAAAGTGTTGAGACATCAGAACCTGGGATAGCTCCGGAGAAGCGCCGCTCGAGCTCATCTAAGCCACGCCCTATGCCCCTCGGCTCCCCTGATAGGCTGAAGGAGTTTGTAACAAGGTGAAATGGCAATGGAACGTGTCACCAAATGTGGACATGTTCAAGTATCTAAAGATGGACCTCAAAGATCGAGTACCATCATAAGAGTATAGCTGTGGAGCTAATTTTGTCTCGAGGATTTGTAGGGGGTAGTGTTTCTTTGCTGATGGGAGCAAATGCTTTACCATTTTTTAAAACGTGCTTTCCACTGGGCACACACTGGTGTTTCCACATCATTTCAACGAAATTACTTTGAACCATTGTGGAATAGATGTTGAATTTATGTCCGTGCACAGCGGGTTATGTGGTATTTATGTTGGATTAGTCAAATTTATAATCCAATTGACTGTTATTTTCAAGCAAAATCCAATTGTCAAAATAACCTACACATAGTAAAGCAGGCTACAATACAACCTGTATTGTTTATGCAGCAATAACAGATAATGCAATGCATATTAGGCTATATATCCCATTTGCACTTAGTCATTTGCTAAATTAATGTCAAATGTTTTTCTACACTGTAAGGAGTCAAAGGAAAATCTACTGGTACATAGTCACTTGAAAATGTTATTTGTTTGCTCTCAAGGTAGTGAGCCTAGTGTGTATAGCCTAGGCCTACTCCAACAGCCCAATAGCAGATGGCCTCACAGTTTAAGCAGTATGAGACCTAAAGTAAAACTGGGAGACTATTGCAGACAGGTTCTCCAAAACCTCATCCCCTTCTTATGGCACTCTGTGTCATTGGTGTGTGAGATGGACTGTAAAATAGTAAGGAGATGTCCCAAGCCCCCTGCAAGTCAATATCTGGACCTGGAAGTTTAGTTAAGCGGAGTGGAGTTAGCCTACTACACTGGTAGTCTACCAAGACTCTCGTTCCATAATCAGGTTCAGGAGAGAAACTGTTCTGGGGAGATATAGAAAGGCTGTAGTTGAGGCTACTAAACAATTTCCCTAGACAGTATAATAGCAGGGGTTAAGTCCATAGAAAGTCTCAGATCTGATAGCAGACAGGGGCTACAGTGGAATTGTGCCGAGATGGAATTACTACACTGGCTGTAAATGTTCCAAAGTGGGCCCCATTTTCTTTCAATGTTCTGACTGTTTTTCTCTGCTTTCCTCTATAGGTGGAGTTCACTCCCGACCAGCAGGAGGGTAAGTTCACTAAACCATATTACTAAGGGACAAGCATGTTACATTTTCTATTGAAAGTGTTTCTTAGGCCAATACTATAGGCTAAATCTGTGTCTGGAAAACCGTCCATATTACTATTACTGTAAAATATTGTATCAGATATCACTATCACTGCTGTAAAACAGATCACTAACACTTTCGCAGACCTGGGTTAAAATACTATTTGAAATCATTTCAAATACTTTTTCTGAGCTTGCCTGGCTTAATGGAGCAATAGAATAATCCCAGAACTGCAAACCGCAACCCTCGCTCACCTGGCACTCCAGGAAGGCTAGAACAAACACTCAAAGTATTTGAAAGATTTCAAATAATATTTGAACCCAGGTCTGTACCTCTGACGCCTAATAAAACCCACTATAATAAATCCACTTTAGGTCTTTTACATAGTATTTACCCACCATGGATTAGCATGCCACTATGATTTCTATCTCAATGTTATTTTTCCTAAACCTGGACTAAGTAGTGTTTAAAAATATAACAAATACAAAAAAAAATGCAATAGCAATATTTTGACTAGGCTTACTTTTGCTCTGAATAACCCAAAGAACTTGTAACATTAAACAACCTAAGTAACAACCTAAGTATTTACAACTTGATATTTCCTATAGAGGTGAACGTTCTCAAATGACATGCACCTGTAGCCAATCTCAATACATTTTCCAAAATTGCAATGGTCAAGCCTCTAAGGTTCTTAGGACACAGTTCACCCCTCTATATGAATGCAAAAACATTATGGCTAAATTAACACTGGGCAAAAAAGCCTGATATATTATATAAACAAACAAGAAACTATTCAATTAAATTCATGGAATCTGATATCTGTTTGGACCACAGATTAGGGCACCACTTGACCCGTTATAAACAATGAGTTATAACCTGTTATAACATAAAGGCTAGTTAGCGGCTGTCAAAGTGAACCCATACCAAGTGGACAGGATGATATTCTAGGATTACATAGCATTCATTGAATGCATTCATTGATTCGTTGAATGCATTCAGATGACTGGCATAGGTCTGTAGCCCTTTCCTGCAGTCAACTGACCAAATCGCCGTCTAGTGGCCTCATGGGTGGAATGTTATAAATATTTTTCATAATTTCATAATTCATTAACATTCTTTTTTTTAAACGCTGAAAATCCAGTGTTTCTATATCAAATGGTTTTGTTATATTTCAGTCTTCTGTGATGTATATAAAGTGTAATATTGGGATGCAAACTCAAAATGGAATACATTTCAACTCTATATCTGACATGGTACAGGTGTTGCTCTTTTTTTTAAGCCCATACCCATGTGTTGAGCCCACCCTGATTTAGCCCACTGCAGTAAAATATTTTAAAGTTGTTGGGCAATATGGAACAGCTAAAAAACGTATCCGTAGGCCTAATAACACATGTAGGGATCAAAAGTTTTATTCCATTCTCATTGACATTCTAAATGTCAAAGACTTAAACGTGTCCTGTCTTATATTGTCCCCCTTTGATAAATCTGAGCTCATTAAGAATGCGCCTGGAGGCTGCCAGCTGAGATCCTTTTTAACTCTTAAATATGGATAGCCATGCTTGCTTCGCCCTCATGTTGGCGCTAGCAAGCAGGCTAGGTAGTGCTAAATATCAACAGCCAATCCAGTAGGGGCTGGAAACTATAGTGAGCTTCGATTGGTCAATAGCAACACGATGTTGTTGACTATTTGCATAAAGTTAAACTTTGGTCCCACACCCTGTTCACGTCCCTCGCCCATGCTCGTATCACCCAACGGTCCCCCGCCCACTTCGCTTCCATTGTTTCATCGCCCCCAACGTTCTATGTAGATACTCTTGGGTTAGCAGGCGATAGCGCAGTCATCACCCCAGCTGGGTGTTGGTTACGCCACTGTCAGCATTCTCTTGGTTTACTCAGGTCAGTCCACTCACAGCATTGCCTTATAAAGGAGCGGGGCTCATATTCTCTCTTCAGTATCGATTCCAATTCGGTGCTTTAAATGCTTTCGTCCTGGGCGGCCCACAAGAGATATAGAGACAGCTGAAATCACATAAGAACTATTCATCTTTCAACAAATCACTTTCAATTGAGTTACATCACAAGCCCATAGAAACATCCAGTTTCATCATAAGCCCATTTAAATGTTTAGGCTAGGTAGGTAACTCTTGTTATCTTCTCCCCGGGCTGGAGTTGTCTCTTCCTGTGGCTGTCTGTCCCTATGGCACGTGCGCAATTGTTAGTGAGGATAAAGAGTGACGTGCGCACCCCACCTAGTAGATAAGTGCGACCGCTTGCTGCTGCGGCAGTGCGCATGTGCTGACACAGAAAGTAGCCCTTCAAAGATATTGCTCTCAATTTACCTAGATCCATTTTCTCCTAACTTACCTGGTCTGCTTGATTGAAATGATATATTTCGCCAGGTCTTCCTTGTAAAAGAGCTATTCTGTCCTCAATGGGACTTCCCGGATAATTACAGGTTAAATAAAATATAAACAGTAGGCAATTCTACATCAAGATACAATAATAAAAAGGATAGGGTGAAGCTCTCATCATTGATTTGCGATATTTACAATAATCCCTACCAAAATCCAAAGACCAAAATGGTCATGTTTGTTTCATAGATCTCTTGGTTTGTTATAATAGCTTCTGTTGGCCACTAGCCCAGGTATTCTGAGGATAATAAAACTCTCTCTCTCGCTCTCTCGCTCTCTCTCTCTCTCTCTCTCTCTCTCTCTCTCTCTCTCTCTCTCTCTCTCTCTCTCTCTCTCTCTCTCTCTCTCTCTCTCTCTCTCTCTCTCTCTCTCTCACCTCACCTCACCTCACCTCACCTCACCTCACCTCACCACAGACTACAAGGAGGCTTTCGGTCTCTTCGATAGGGTGGGTGACTCGAAGGTGGCTTACAACCAGGTAGCTGATATCATGCGCGCCCTGGGACAGAACCCCACCAACAAGGAGGTGCGCAAAGTCCTGGGCAACCCCTCCGATGAAGGTAAGACACACACATATACAGTACGTAAACAGATACAAGGACACACAAGCACAGGCACAAACACACACACATACACAAACGGATACAAGGACACACAAGCGCAGACACACACACACTTTACTTCATACTGACTCTATGTACTCTATCCTCTCCACTTTAGACCCTAAGCCCTTCATAGTTGAGTTTGTCCTACTATAGCACACTAGGGAAGAGAACATGTCATTCAATAAGTGACCACACCCTAGAGATAGAGGACAAAAGCCGGTTTTAGCATGGGCTGCGCCATTGAGGACTTCCACCATTTTGAAGTAGTCAACTGGGTAGGACTTCCTATGGGTTAGGAAAGGATCATATAATTCCACCCAGGTCATCAGGAGGGATCAGCCAATGAATAATACTCGTGAGCAAACATTCCATAACTGCAGGTGGCAGTAAATCGTCAACCTTGGCTTTATACCTGTTCAAACAACACACTCCAGGAGGCAGAATGCACCGTTTCAGTTTGTTTGCCAACTCATAGAAGTAGTAGAAGAAAAAAATGGATTACTTCAAAATGGAGATGGCCTCAATGTCACTGCCCGTGCTCTCACAGACGCCATAATGGGACAGATACAATGATGTGAAGTCTATGGACCACACCTTGGCATTTGTCTGATCCCTTTTATAGCACATTTTAACAATTCAGCACCTGTCATGACAGACAGATCCCTCAATTGGTGGTGTTAAGCCTGAGTAGCTGACAGATCCCTCCATCGGTGTTGTTAAGCCTGAGTAGCTGCAGAAGGTCTTTGAAGTAGGGTTACAATACCTGCCAGTGTGAAACGTGATACACTTTTCTGTTATTTCACTATGTATGTACAGTATCTATCTATGTATGTAGTTATATTTTGACACACACACACACACACACAGCCAGTTTCAATGGTATAACTGCTAGTAGTGTATTGTATGGTGTGGGCCAGGGTGAAGTTGCCCCCCACACTGATCTGGAGTCAATTTGTCATATTCCCCACTAATGGTTAAGGTTAGGATTGGGGGAGGAAAAGCTGATCCTAGGTCTGTACCAGGGGAAACTTCACCCCGGAGCATACTGTATACTTATAGTGCATTTCCTCTCACTCTGGCTGCCCACAGACATGGCCGCCAAGAGATTGGAGTTCGAGGCCTTCCTTCCCATGCTCCAGCACATCGTCAACGACCCAAACAAGGGAACCTTCGATGACTACGTTGAGGGTCTGCGCGTCTTTGACAAGGAGGGCAATGGCACCGTGATGGGCGCTGAGCTGCGTATCGTCCTTGGAACACTGGGTGAGTGGCCGCCTGGGTTTAGTTGTAACATGACATTTGTGTGTGTGTGTATGAATGAAGAATGAATGACTGCGTGCATGCAGATATCATATGACACCAGACCAGCTGGTGACCTGGCCTCTCTCACCTCTCCCTCCCTCTAGGTGAGAAGATGACCGAGGCTGAGATTGATGCCCTCATGCAAGGACAGGAGGACGAGAACGGCAGTATTAACTTTGAGGGTAAGCCTTCAAGTCTTCCAAGTCTTAGGTCACATCCCAAATGGCACCGTATTACATATAGGGAGACATTTTCGTAGTGCCAAACCAATGTGCAAAGTCAAAAAATTACCATGAAACCTCATTATAATCTGGCAGCGTGATTTAATTTGAAACTGTTCTGCAACAAATGCATTATAAGTAGGTGACTACCCACTGGGCACAGACGTCAGTTCAACGTTTAGTTTTGATTTCAGTTTATGTGACAAAACAAGCAAGTATAGAGTCGTGATCATCAACTATATTCAGCCGCGGGATGATTTGTTCTTTCACGGATGGTCAGCGGGCCTGAACATAATGACAAATAATTTGTAGACTGCAAATTGACTGCAAGAAGCCCAAAAATATATATTATTTGACTAAAACATAATAATTTCTAACCTTGCTTACATTAGTATACGATCACATACAGTGGGGGAAAAAAGTATTTAGTCAGCCACCAATTGTGCAAGTTCTCCCACTTAAAAAGATGAGAGAGGCCTGTAATTTTCATCATAGGTACACACAGACAAATTGAGAAAAAAAAATCCAGAAAATCACATTGTAGGATTTTTAATGAATTTATTTGCAAATTATGGTGGAAAATAAGTATTTGGTCACCTACAAACAAGCAAGATTTCTGGCTCTCACAGACCTGTAACTTCTTCTTTAAGAGGCTCCTCTGTCCTCCACTCGTTACCTGTATTAATGGCACCTGTTTGAACTTGTTATCAGTATAAAAGACACCTGTCCACAACCTCAAACAGTCACACTCCAAACTCCACTATGGCCAAGACCAAAGAGCTGTCAAAGGACACCAGAAACAAAATTGTAGACCTGCACCAGGCTGGGAAGACTGAATCTGCAATAGGTAAACAGCTTGGTTTGAAGAAATCAACTGTGGGAGCAATTATTAGGAAATGGAAGACATACAAGACCACTGATAATCTCCCTCGATCTGGGGCTCCACGCAAGATCTCACCCCGTGGGGTCAAAATGATCACAAGAACGGTGAGCAAAAATCCCAGAACCACACGGGGGGACCTAGTGAATGACCTGCTGAGAGCTAGGACCAAAGTAACAAAGCCTACCATCAGTAACACACTACGCCGCCAGGGACTCAAATCCTGTAGTGCCAGACGTGTCCCCCTGCTTAAGCCAGTACATGTCCAGGCCCGTCTGAAGTTTGCTAGAGTGCATTTGGATGATCTAGAAGAGGATTGGGAGAATGTCATATGGTCAGATGAAACCAAAATATAACTTTTTGGTAAAAACTCAACTCGTCGTGTTTGGAGGACAAAGAATGCTGAGTTGCATCCAAAGAACACCATACCTACTGTGAAGCATGGGGGTGGAAACATCATGCTTTGGGGCTGTTTTTCTGCAAAGGGACCAGGACGACTGATCCGTGTAAAGGAAAGAATGAATGGGGCCATGTATCGTGAGATTTTGAGTGAAAACCTCCTTCCATCAGCAAGGGCATTGAAGATGAAATGTGGCTGGGTCTTTCAGCATGACAATGATCCCAAACACACCGCCCGGGCAACGAAGGAGTGGCTTCGTAAGAAGCATTTCAAGGTCCTGGAGTGGCCTAGCCAGTCTCCAGATCTCAACCCCATAGAAAATCTTTGGAGGGAGTTGAAAGTCTGTGTTGCCCAGCGACAGCCCCAAAACATCACTGCTCTAGAGGAGATCTGCATGGAGGAATGGGCCAAATACCAGCAACAGTGTGTGAAAACCTTGTGAAGACTTACAGAAAACGTTTGACCTGTGTCATTGCCAACAAAGGGTATATAACAAAGTATTGAGAAACTTTTGTTATTGACCAAATACTTATTTTCCACCATAATTTGCAAATAAATTCATTAAAAAATCCTACAATGTGATTTTCTGGATTTTTTTTCCTCATTTTGTCTGTCATAGTTGACGTGTACCTATGATGAAAATTACAGGCCTCTCTCATCTTTTTAAGTGGGAGAACTTGCACAATTGGTGGCTGATTAAATACTTTTTTTCCCCACTGTAGATTCTCTATTATGTGTGGGAATACGTTGGAACAGATTTCCTAAATTAAAATCATTTGGAGTTGATTTGCTGGTGATTTTACAGTATTTAATGTCCAACAATAAAAAAGAAGATACAGTACCAGTCAAAAGTTTGGACACACCTACTCATTCAAGGGTTTTTCTTTAATTGTACTATTTTCTACATTGTAGAATAATAGTGAAGACATCAAAACTATGAAATAACACATATGGAATCATGTAGTAACCAAAAAAGTGTTAAACCACCCTTTTCCTTGATGACAGCGTTGCACACTCTTGGCATTCTCTCAACAAGCTTCACCTGGAATGCTTTTCCAACAGTCTTGAAGGAATTCCCACATATGCTGAGCACTTGGCACTTAGCTGCTTTTCCTTCACTCTGCGGTCCAACTCATCCCAAACCATCTTAATTGGGTTGAGGTTGGGTGATTGTGGAGGCCAGGTCATCTGATGCAACACTCCATCACACTCCTTCTTGGTCAAATAGCCCTTACACAGCCTGGAGGTGTGTTGGGTCATTGTCCTGTTGAAAAACAAATGATAGTCCCACTAAGCGCAAACCAGATGGGATGGCGTATCGCTGCAGAATGCTGTGGTAGCCATGCTGGTTTAGTGTGCCTTGAATTCTAAATAAATCACTGACAGTGTTACCAGCAAAGTACCCCCACACCATCACACCTCCTCCTCCATGCTTCACGGTGGGAACCACACATGCAGGGATCATCCGTTCACCTACTCTGCGTCTCACAAAGACACAGCGGTTGGAACCAAAAATCTCAAATTTGGACTCATCAGACCAAAGGACAGATTTCCACTGATCTAATGTCCATTGCTCGTGTTTCTTGGCATAAGCAAGTCTCTTCTTCTTATTGGTGTCCTTTAGTAGTGGTTTATTTTTAGCAATTCAACCATAAAAGCCTAATTCACGCAGTCTCCTCTGACCAGTTGATGTTGAGATGTGTCTGTTACTTGAACTTGAAGCATTTATTTGGGCTGCAATTTCTGAGGCTGGTAACTCTGATGAGCTTTCCTCTGCTGTAGAGGTAACTCTGGGTCTTCCTTTCCTGTGGCAGTCCTCATGAGAGACAGTTTCATCATAGCGCTTGATGGTTTATGTGACTGCACTTGAAGAAACTTTCAAAGTTCTTGAAATTGTCTGGATTGACTGACCTTCATGTCTTAAAGTAATGATGGACTGTCGTTTCTCTTTGCTTATTTGAGCTGTTCTTGCCATAATACGGACTTGGTCTTTTACCAAATAGGGCTATCATTTTACATTTTAGTCATTTATCAGACGCTCTTACCCAGAGCGACTTACAGGAGTAATTAGGGTTAAGTGCCTTGCTCAAGGGCACATCGACAGATTTTTCACCTAGTCGGCTCGGGGATTCGAACCAGTGACCTTTCGATTACTGGCCCAACGCTCTTAACCACTAAGCTATCTGCCGCTATCTTCTGTATACCACCCCTACCTTGTCACAACACAACTGATTGGCTCAAACGTATTAAGAAGGAAAGAAATTCCACAAATTAACTTTTAAGAAGCCACACCTGTTAACTGAAATGCATTCCAGATGACTACCTCATGAAGCTGGTTGAGAGAATGACAAGAGTGTGCAAAGTTGTCATCAAGGCAAAGGGTGGCTACTTTGAAGAATCTCAAATATATTTTGATTTGTTTAACACTTTTTTGGTTACTACATGATTCCATATGTGTTATTTCATAGTTTTGATGTCTTCACTATTATTCTACAATGTAGAAAATTGTGAAAATAAAGAAAAAACCTGGAATGAGTAGGAGTGTCCAAACGTTTGACTGGTGCTGGATGAATATTTATTTTTCGCTCATAAATATTTTGGGGCCAAATAAAATCACCTGCATGGCAAATTCGTCCCACGGGCCACCAGTTGGGGAACCCTGGTGTAGAGAATCATTGTACCATCTAAACTGCTGTGAAATATATTTTCCATAACCTTAAATATTGAATTTTCAGCTGTTTGAAGCTGGTGTATAAAACCGAAAGTAAAAGACAAAAACCGAAACTTAAAAACGGGAAGCATAGAAATAGCGCAGATCAACCGCTTCTTAGACTTGCTTTTAATGAGAATGTCAGATCTATAACTGACATTTCTATATGAATTTTGTCGGGTTGCCAAAAAGTTACATATTGCAGCTTTAACATTTGGTTGAGTTGTGAACAACAACAAAAATGTCACCATGTCAATGCATTTTGGTTAAACGTTTTTCTTTTTTAAAGACGAAATTCCCCTACATTGATGACTTTTTAAAAATCCAATCAGTTTTCCATGTTGATTCGACATCATCACATTTAATTTTGGGGTTGAAATGACATCAAAACAACGTTGATTCAACCAGTTTTTGCCCAGTGGGTATTCATGTATTGCTTACCAACTTTATGAAGCAGATTGTTGATGAAAAGTTTGAAATTAAATCACGCTGCCAGATTATCATGAGGTTTACCCTAATGTTAGCACTTTGCGCATTGCTTTTGCCGTACGAGAATCGCCCATAGTGTACTACATTATACCAGGGCCCACAGGGAAAGGTGCAATTTGGGAGGCAAATTTAATCTTACATCATACAGGTCTTATGATATGTTATATTGTACATAAGATAGAGACATATTTCAGTCCAAAAACAGTTATTAGATTATACTATAGTTATAGATTTGTATTGTATGATGTTTAGATTTTTAATTTAGATCAAAGAGCTTTACTCGCTTACTCACTCCTCTGTTTCTATATTTTTTATTTCCCCTGTGACCCCTTGCCTACCTCCTCCTTAACCCTCCCTCCTCACCCCTCTACCTCCCTCTCCTCCCTCCCCTCACTCCTCCTCACCCCTACAGCCTTTGTCAAGCACATCATGTCTATTTAAGGATCCTCCGGCTGCAGTGGCTAATGAGGAAGCTAACGTGTTATCTGCAGACCCAACGGTGTCAGGACATCCACTCCCCCACGGTTACTTCACCACCACCTGAGAAACAGACAGGGGGAAAATGGACAATGAGATGTCATTTCTAATCCGTTCTTTTTGTTGTTGTTTGTTTCATCCTTTTTTGGGGGGTCCGACTCCGACCTCCGACTCTGCTCTCTACTTTCCTCCATTGGAAGCCGTCCTTTTTTTCTCCAGCTAGCCAACCGGCAGATGCTCTTGTTGTCTTGTCCCCTGCCATCTTGGCGGGGTATGCCTCTCCACCGTGGGTCAGTGAGGGAAAAGAGGTAGGAATGACTCACCGAAATGTTGCAGTAGTTAAGCTAACCCTTTCATCACTTACTGCCTGGACTGGGCCAGTAGAGGTGACTGGCTTTGCTCAAGACTGGCCATCAGAACTCTCCCCTATCTATCCCCTAAGTCTTCATTCATTTTTCTCCTCCGCTATTTCACATAATAAACTTTTCAGAAACCCTCCGGTGTCGCCACTCTTATTCTTTGCTCTGCGGGAGAGTGCAGACAGTGAGGCTATGTCCCAAATGGCACCCTATTCCCTATATAGTGCACTACTTTTGATCAGTGCCCAATAGGCTGCCATTTGGAACCCATCCTGAGTGTAGCTACAGGATAGAGGTTAAAACAGACCAACACTGATGGTGGCCTAGCAGCCGAAACGTTTGTATTCTTGTTGCCTCTCAAAGAATGATTAAAAGATTTTAAAAACATGTGTCAATCTCTTTTTTAAAGTATGGATCCCCGCACATTAGAGTGGGTATCCAAGGTTATTATAGTTTTGTGTTTTTATATTCGTTTTTATTTCTATTCGTTTAAAGATGTTTATTTGAAATTCAGTTTCAGATCCACTTTACTAGTTTTTATTTAGTTTAAGTTTTAGAAAAACATTTTCTATTTCATTTTTATATGATTTAGTTTCAGTTTTAGTGTTAGGGACAGAAAGAAGCCTAAGGCTAGGAGTCTTTTATGTGTTGTATAGATTTTTTTTTTTTGTGGGGCAGTAATGCATAAGGTGATGGGTCAGGTCATAGGTTAGGTTTAAAGGTACACTCAACGAGATAACGTAGATCAGGGGTTTTCAAACCTCTCCCCAGCCATTCCATGTATTTTAACTATTCCACAGGTTAGGGTTCAAATTGTCAACTAATCATCAAGCGCTTGACTAGGTGAATCAGGTGAGTTAGTTCAGGCTTACAACAAAATTGTGAAACATCTGGAGGTCCCAGAGGAGAGGTTTGAGAACCACTGACGTAGATGCACAAGTAAACAGTAGTAGTGGGTCAATTTCCACAACAACCAGGAGTGTTGAAGCGTGAGACTAAACTTCTCCACTGTTTTGTTCCCGTAGCTACCATGTTGTAGCTGTGTGAGAGCAGTCTTGCATCTGCTCATCTCAATGGACGCGTTCGAGCAGATCACTTTTGTCAAGTCAATGGTCACGCCTTTCAAAGTGTGTTGCATTCTGGAGATAAAAATTGTCCGACTTGTGACTACAGGTCAACTGAATGAACTTTACAAAAAAGCGTGAAAAAAAGTCATGAAGTTTTGACTGCAGTTGCTCTTCACCAACTTTGTCCTGCAGCCATCGACTGCATTGTGGGAGGCTTTATTGTCAACCAGTAATTAGGGTGTTTTTGTTTGACCCACGCGAACATGTCCAAAGACATGACTCAAATAGGAACCAATTTGCTGTGATTTATGTGTAAAGTGGATATATAGAAATACATTTGATATTTGAGGCTCTCTCTCACTAATTGATTGTACAATGTGTACATGTAACAAGCAGGATATGAACCCAGGGAGAAACCAACGTCTTGACCATTAGACCAAGAGTATTTCCCTTTAAGCCCTACACTGACTTTGTAGTCAAGAATGTCACGCGCACAAGTAGAGTGAAATGCCTTTCTCGCAGGCGGGGCTACCCATCACGTGACCATGACCGACTAATGTCTGCTACATACACACATAATATTATATTACAATTTCAGTTTGTGAGTGTGTGATATGGGGGTTAGATAAATGTTAATTTCAACATTATAAAAACCTGAGCCTTCTTGTTGGAAAACCACATTAGTGTCCGACCTTCGGCTGTCGCAGATGCACCTCCCCCGAGTTCACTCCTCAACTTTCATCTACAGTCGGTTGCTTTAGTCTTACCACTCAAACGTGCCCAATATCTGCGGTGCTGCTCATGGCAATGTAATCTCGCTGAGTCTACCTTTAAATTCTAAAGTCAATCTCAATGTGACCAGCCAGATTCAGAAGCTTGAAAACCCCATAAGAAAAAAAGCTTAAAAACCCCATTGAAAACCCCATTTCATTTTTGCACAAAAATAACAACATAATTCATATGGTTTTTATTTTAGTTTAGTTGGTTTTGGGGTCAAAAATAATAGTTTCAGTATAGTTTTAGTTTTTCAAAAGGGTTTGTTCATTATTTTTTATTTCAGTTTACTAAATTGTTTTTCAGTAGTTTTTGTTTAAGTTTTAGTTTACTATAATAACCTTGGTGGTAACTATAACTTCAGCAAAGTTTGGCAAAGTTTGGAAGTACTCAAAACGCAAGTGTTTTTCATTGTTTTTTATTGTCATTAATTGTTAAGAGCATTTTGTAATTAGTACCATATCAACAGGAGAAAAAACTGCATACATCTAATTTTAATGACATTAACAGTTGCTGTAGGTTGGGGTAGAGGATAGGAGATAGGGGATATGGGGATGCAGAAAGAACACAGAAGCAAACCAACATCAGGAATACTAGGAGAGGGAGGAGGGCTAAATACCACAATGGCAACAGAAACAATACAGCGGAACACTTTATCAAACAGATGCAACATGATTTGTTGAGTTTCCTTTTTTAAAAGTTTGTTTATATGAAATGTATTTTTTTATGCCTTTTTCCCCTTTCTTTCCCCACCATAAATGTTTTACACAAAACAAACCTAACATTTAGACGTGAACTGTAAGGACACAGGGTCCAGAGTTCCGCAGCTGCTTCCTAAATTGAATATTTAAATAATAGTCATAGTTTCATTCACAATATGGTTCAGACAACTGCAAGCCCTCGTGAGTGCATTCTCAGCCTGCTCTGAGAGCCTTGGGGTGTTCAAACACTATGGACTAAAAGATCTTACAGCCATCCAATGCCTAGCTAGCATTGGTGAATGGATCGTGATCACAGCTTCTCTGAGCTCTTAGCTATATCAACGTTTCTTTTGAACTGAGATCTGTGAGATGAGAATCACTGCAGAATCCTCTTAAACTTAACCAGGACTGGCAAACCAGCCTTCTAGAAGAAAAACTCCCAGATAGAACTCATGAGAGTAGCATTATTTAGTACTCTGTAAGTAAAACATATTTTATAATCAGAAATATGTCATGTGTATCTGAGACCTTTATTATGGCATTGCCATTGAGATTTTCTGTTGAGACTCTTAATATGAAAATACCCTTCCCAGATTCACCTGCATGTGATGAGGATTCACGGGAGAGATGTGTGAGTGACAGAGAAGTGAAGTAATGGAGATGTAAGCTAATGTGTTGTGCTACTAAAGTATGTGCTGCTGCTACTTGGAAGGATTAAACTATTAAAAAATAACTTGATCGTATCCCGACTCTTTATCATCGAACCCACAGGCTCTTAGGAGAAGGTGATAGATAATTCAGTCAAATAATTAGGGTTACATTTAGTAAGTAAGATAAGCCTTGTTCGAGCCAGAACGGCCCATAGGGGCAGGAGCCTAACTCCTGTTTCTGTAGTGTGAGGCAGCTTGATGTACAAGTACACCCCCTGGACAGGAAGCTAGTCTGCCACAGGGCCTTTAGTACTCTATTGCAGGCCTGAAAGATGCACTCCTTAACAATATCAGCACAGTTGTCTGAAGTCAACTTCAACAAGCATAACATACTAGTCAACTAATATCTCCAAAAACAGTGTTCATTTCTTTATCCAATGATTCAGTAAATCACTTATTCAAATCCTTTTATTTGAAATAGAAAATAGCCTCTTTTTGTCACTAGAATTGATACATGCTCATCATACCATTATCTAGTGCTTGCAGTAATGCAATTGTACAGGTTTAAGTTATACTTATAGGACTTATCACTTTTTAAAATTGTTTTTCGAAGAGATGTTGTTGCTGACAAAGAGCTGGTATATTTATACACACACACACATATATATATATATATATACACTGTACCAGTCAAAAGTTTGGAAACACCTACTCATTCAAGGGTTTTTCTTATTTCTTTTACTATTTCCTACATTGCAGAATAATAGTGAAGACATCAAAACTATGAAATAACTCATATGTAATCATGTAGTAACCAAAAAAGTGTTAAACAATTCAAAATATACTTAAAAGTAGCCACCCTTTACCTTGATGACAGCTTTGCACACTCTTGGCATTCTCTCAACCAGCTTCATGAGGTAGTCACGTGGAATGCATTCAATTAACATGTGTGCCTTGTTAAAAGTTAATTTGTGGAATTTCTTTCCTTCTTAATGTGTTTGAGCCAATCAGTTGTGTTGTGACAAGGTAGGGGTGATATACAGAAGATAGCCCTATTTGGTAAAAGACCAAGTCCATATTATGGCAAGAACCGCTCAAATAAACAAAGAGAAACGACAGTCCATCGCTACTTTAAGACATGAAGGTCAGTCAATCCAGACAATTTCAAGAACTTGAAAGTTTCTTCAAGTGCAGTCGCAAAAACCATAAAGCGCTATGATGAAACTGGCTCTCATGAGGACCGCCACAGGAAAGGAAGACCCAGAATTACCTCTGCTGCAGAGGATAAGCTCATTAGAGTTACCAGCCTCAGAAATCGGCAATTAACTGCACCTCAGATTGCAGCGCAAATAAATGCTTCACAGAGTTCAAGTAACAGACACATCTCAACATCAACTGCTCAGAGGAGACTGCGTGAATCAGGCCTTCATGGTCGAATTGCTGCAAAAAAAAACACTACTAAAGGACACCAATAAGAAGAAGAGACTTGCTTGGGCCAAGAAACATGAGCAATGGACATTAGACCGGTGGAAATCTGTCCTTTGGTCTGATGAGTCCAAATTTGAGATTTCTGGTTCCAAACACCGTATCTTTGTGAGATGCAGAGTAGGTGAACGGATGATCTCTGCATGTGTTGTTCCCACCGTGAAGCATAGAGGAGGAGGTGTGATGGTGTGGGGGTGCTTTGCTGGTGATACTGTCAGTGATTTATTTAGAATTCAAGGCACACTTAACCAGCATGGCTACCAAAGCATTCCGCAGTGATACGCCATCCCATCTGGTTTGCGCTTAGTGGGACTATCATTTGTTTTTCAACAGGACAATGACCCAAAACACACCTCCATGCTGTGTAAGGGCTATTTGACCAAGAAGGGGAGTGATGGAGTGCTGCATCAGATGACCTGGCCTCCACAATCACTCGACCTCAACCCAATTGAAATGGTTAGGGATGAGTTGGACCGCAGAGTGAAGGAAAAGCAGCCAACAACTGCTCAGCATATGTGGGAACTCCTTCAAGACTGTTGGAAAAGCATTCCAGGTGACTACCTCATGAAGCTGGTTGAGAGAATGCCAAGAGTGTGCAAAGCTGTCATCAAGGCAAAGGGTGGCTACTTTGAATAATCTAAAATGAACACTTTTTTGGTTACTACATGATTCCATATGTGTTATTTCTTAGTTTTGATGTCTTCAGTATTATTCTACAATGTAGAAAATAGTAAAAATATAGAAAGACCCTTGAATGAGTAGGTGTGTCCAAACTTTTGACTGGTACTGTATATATATATATATATATATTGTTTATATATTTATTATATATTGTTGATATATTTATTATATATTGGATGTTGGATGTCGGACAAGTATGACTTGCTGCAAGGATGCTTGATGTATGGTGAATGTTGAGTCTGGCATCCATGCACTTTACTGAGAAAAACAAGACGTATTGGCGAGATGGCACGGGTACTGTATGGGGATGGTCACGTGACTTCCTACCTATGGCAAGAAAAAGCTGCTTCTAAGCACTGAACAGAGACCAGCCCACCCTATACCTGGCCCTTACACAGATTATTTTGTGCAAACAGCTAAAGCTGATCTTGGGTCAGTGCTTGGACACCATCTAACTATTTATATAGCTAGCTATCTATACGCAGCATTAAAAAAAATACACCAAATAAAAGATGGAGAAAAAAAGCACAGGTACTTGGAATGGAAATATCAACAGAAAATGGACCAAAAGTACTTTCTAAATAGTCTCTAGTTCCCTTAGGGTTGTTGTTGTTGTTTTTCTTCATTTATCTTGTTGACATAGGGCAGGGTAGGCAGCTCCATCAGGCGGCGGATATGAGGCTGCTGCAGGATGGCGGTGTCTGGGCTGGGGTTGACGAGCAGCAGGGGTGAGGAAGTCTGAGGCCTGGGACAGGGTGAGGGAGTCTGGGGTGGACTAGAGACAGGGTGGGGTAAGGGTGTCTGGGATGGACTGGCAGGAAGGGTAGAGGCTGGGTTGAGGCAAAGTGAAGGTGTCCGTGGGGACTACAGGCAGAGTGGGCTGGAGGCAGGGTGGGGTTGAGGCAGGGTGGGGTTGAGGCAGAGTGGGGTTGAGGCAGAGTGGGGTTGAGGCAGAGTGGGGTTGAGGCAGGGTGGGGTTGAGGCAGGATGGGGTTGAGGCAGGGTGGGCTGTCTGGTACCCGAGGCTGGAGGTGGACTGGAGGGAAATTGGAGGCTGGGTGGAGGCTTGATGAGGGAGCCTGGGATGGACTAGAGGCAAGTGAGGGAGTCCGAGGCTTGGGGTCAGGTTAAACTGGAAGCAAGTTGTGGGTGTCAGGAGTCTGGGATTAGTCGTCTGGAGGCAGGGGGAAGGTGTCCGGGGCTGGGGTGGACTGGAGGGAGACTGGAGTCAGGGGGAAGGTGTCCCGGGCTGGGGTGGACTGGAGGGAGCCTGGAGTCAGGGGGAAAGTGTCCGGGGCTGGGGTGGACTGGAGGGAGACTGGAGTCAGGGGGAAGGTGTCCGGGGCTGGGGTAGACTGGAGGGAGACTGGAGGCAGGGGGAAGGTGTCCGGGGCTGGGGTGGACTGGAGGGAGACTGGAGTCAGGGGGAAGGTGTCCGGGGCTGGGGTGGACTGGAGGGAGACTGGAGGCAGGGGGAAGGTGTCCGGGGCTGGGGTGGACTGGAGGGAGACTGGAGTCAGGGGGAAGGTGTCCGGGGCTGGGGTAGACTGGAGGGAGACTGGAGGCAGGGAGAAAGTGTCCGGGGCTGGGGTGGACTGGAGTGAAACTGGAGGCAGGACGGGGTGAGGGGGGGGGGGTCCAGGCCTTGGGCATAGGGTGGCTGGAGGAAGGGTGAAGGTGTCCGGGGGTGTCTGGGTGTCTGGATACCCGTGCTGGGATTGACTGGAGTGAGACTAGAGGCAGGGGTCAAGAGATCCAGTGTCCGGGCAGAGGGTGTCAAGGCGCTCACAAACCCTGCTTGGCCAGGGCAGCGGTGACATTGTCAGCCAAAGTGGCTAGCTGTGGAGACTCCAGCAAATTGATGCTGTCGGAGGACGACAGGTGGCTGTGGCGGTGGGGGGACACCGTCCCTGACATGCTCGTTCCCGGAGACTGGGTCACGATGATCTCTGCCCCATGGTCCACCCGGGCCTTGGCCGTGTCACGGAACAACAGCTTGTGGCTCTCGATCTACAGGGAGATAGGGTAAATGAGATAGGCAGGAGGTACACACGCACACAGGTGAAGGATACATACACGCACGCACACACACACACACACACACACACACACACACAGGTTGGGGATACACACACAAAGGTTGGGGATACGCGCACACACACACAGGTTGGGGAAACGCACACACACACACACACGCACACAAACACGCACACACAGGTGAGGGATACACACACACAGACGTCATATGGATGGTTTGAGTGGTGCTAACCTTGGAGGAGTCTGTCTGAGACTGATGTCCAACTGATCAGGGGTGCGTCCCAAATGGGACAATATTGGCTTTATCGAGCACTACTTTTGACCAGAGCACATAGGGCCCTATAAAGGAATAGGGTGCCATTTGGGACTCAACCAATCCTTGTTGTGATGAGGTTACAGTATGATGGGACTTACCATAATGAGGCCTCCACCAGGGGTGTGGTGTGCATTATCCAGGGAACCCACCTTGGGCTGGGCCTTGTCTTTGAAGTCCAGCTTCACACTCTCTATGCGCACGTTACCTCCTCCTAGTGGAGCAGAGGGAGAGAGTGAGGGGGAGGGGGAGAAAAAGAGAGAGCCAAGAAGACAAGGAAGGGTAAGAGAGAGAAAGAGAGAGATTGTTGTGGAAAATAACCACTATACTTTATTACAAATAAGGTCTTACAGAGTTTTTGTTGCATCAAGAAATGACTTTATTAAAGTTTTCAACAAAGCCGATACCAGTCTGCAGAGTGGCACCCCGTTCTCCCTCCCTCACGTCACATTATATACCATCATCCCCAACTCTTCTAGCTCTAAATCCCTCCCTCTTCAGTTTCCAGCTCTTTATCACTCCACGCCCACTTCCTTTGTCCCTGAGGATGGCTGAACTATTACTCCAACCAATCACTCGCTCCCCTGTCTTACACACACACTCATGTTTAGTTTAAACATGACAAGGCCCTAAATTCTTGAAACATACACAAACCTCACCCCATCATGCTGTAATCAATCAAGAAGATACCAATGAGACAAAGGTCTAGCCCAAACTCCATTCAACCCTGGTGCCGCTCCCTTCACTGTGTTTGAAGAGATAGACAAAAGGCCACAAGCTAGTTTCAGTCTCTCATCAGATAAGACAGCCATGGATTTAAGTAAGAGCAAGCAATTTGACCCTAGGGCAGATTTCCTCTCTACTCCCCCACACACACAGTGAAATGCCCCAATGAAATTCCTAGCCCAGTAACAAACAATTCTAACTCAATGTTCGTGATTAACCCAGTTCTATCTCCTAATTCATTAAAGAATACACATCAAGATGTTCCAATAAATTATTATACTTTATCATCAATCATTCGTCAATCCGATGAAAAGACAGACGAGACCCTTATTCCTTATCTGGATCCCCATTAGCTGTTGCCATGATTACAGTTAGTCTTCCTGGGGTCCATACCCTGCAGATATATCACTTGATAATGTAATTGAAAAGGTGCTTCGGAAATCGATCATTACCTCTATGGGTTAACTAGGACACAGGGAAATACAGACATTGTCATCCTACAAGAAACATTGTATAGAGGAGATGGACCCATTTGTTGCCCTCTAGGTTACAGAGAGCTGGTAGTCCCATCCATCAAACTACCAGGTGTAAAACAGGGAAGAGACTCAGGGGGTATGCTAATTTTGGTATAGAACAGACCTAACTCACTCTATTAAATTAATCAAAACAGGAACATCTGGCTAGAAATTAATGAGGAAATGATCGCAACAGAGAAACATTTCCTCATGTGTTCTACCTATATCCCCCCAATAGAATCCCCATACTTTAACGATGACAGCTTCTCCATCCTAGAGTGGGAGATCAACCATTTCCAGGCCTAGGCACATGTACTAGTCTGTGGAGACACTGGACATGAACCTGACACTCTCTGCACACAGGGCGACAAACACCTACCTGGAGGTGACAGTATTCCCTCCCAAATATGCCCCCTGAGACACAACTATGACAAAACAACCAACAAAAACGTGTCACTTCTGCAGCTCTGTCGCACACTGGATCTGTCCATACTGTAGTCAGTGGTAGGCTTCGAGGAGACTCCTATAGTAGATACACTTACAGCTCATCCCTTGGCAGTAGTACTGTGGATTACTTTATCACTGACCTCAACCCAGAGTCTCTCAGAGCATTCACAGCCAGCCCACTGACACCCCTATCAGATCACAGCAAAATCACAGTCTACTTGAACAGAGCAATACTCAATCATGAGGCATCAAAGCCAAAGGAACTGCACAATTTCAGAAATGCTATAGATGGAAGGAAAGTAGTGTAGAAACCAACCAAAAAACAATTAGGCAACAACAAATTCAATCCCTTTTAGACAACGTCCTGGACAAAACATTTCACTGTAATAGTGAAGGTGTAAACTTGGCAGTAGAAAGCCTAAACAGTATATTTGACCTTTCAGCTTCCCTATCAAATCCAAACATTTCAAGCAGACAACCTATTTAAAAAAAGAAAGAAAAGATAAATGGTTTGATTAAGAATGCAAAAGCCTACAAAAGAAATTGAGAAACCTATCCAACCAAAAACATAGAGACCCAGAAAACCTAAGCCTACGCCTTCACTATGGTGAATCACTAAAACAATACAGAGATACACTACGGAAAAAGAAGGAACAGCACGTCATAAATCAGCTCAATGTAATTGAAGAATGCATAGAATCTGACCACTTCTGGGAAAATTGGAACACACTAAACAAACAGTTGGCAAATTGGCAAAAAAAAAACATTTATTTCCACAAGGCCGTGGGGTGAGACAGGGATGCAGCTTGAGCCCTCTTCAACATATATATCAACGAATCTGCGAGGGCACTAGAACAGTCTGCAGCACCCGGCCTCACCCTACTATAATCTGAAGTCAAATGTCTACTGTTTGCTGATGATCTGATGCTTCCGTCCACAACCAAGGAGGGCCTACAGCAGCACCTAGATCTTCTACACAGATTCTGTCAGACCTGGGCCCTGACAGTAAATCTCAGTAAGACAAAAATAATGGTGTTCCAAAAAAGGTCCAGTTGGACCACAAATACAAATTTAATCTAGACACCGTTGCCCTAGAGCACACAAAAAACTATACCTACCTCGGCCTAAACATCAGCGCCACAGGTAACTTCCACAAAGCTGCGAACGATCTGAGAGACAAGGTAAGAAGGGCCATCTACGCCATCAAAAGGAACATAAAATTTGACATCCCAATTAGGATCTGGCTAAAAATACTTGAATCAGTTAAAGAACTCATTGCCCTTTATGGTTGTGAGGTCTGGGGTTCGCTCACCAACCAAGAATTCAAAAAATGGAATGCAGAATTCTGCAAAACCATCCTCCGTGTGCAACGTAAAACACCAAATAATGCATGCATTAAAAGGAAGGGATTCCCAAACCTTCCATAACAAAGCCATCACCTACAGAAAGATTAACCTAGAGAAGAGTCCGCTATGCAAGCTGGTCCTGTTCACAAAGACAAACAGACCCCCAGGACAGCAACAGCAACACAATTAGACCCAACCAAATCATGAGAAAACAAAAAGATAATTACTTGACACATTGGAAAGAATTTACCAAAAAACAGAGCAAACCAAAATGCTATTTGGCCCTAAACAGAGAGTACACAGTGGCAGAATACCTGACCACTGTGACTGACCCAAAATTAAGGAATGCTTTGACTATGTACAGACTCAGTGAGCATCGCCTTGCTATTGAGAGAAGACAGGCTATGTGCACACTGCCCACAAAATGAGGTGGAGACTGAGCTACACTTCCTAACCTCTAGCCAAATGTATGACCAAATTAGAAATACATATTTCCCTCAGATTACACAGACCCACAAAGAATTCAAAAACGAATCCATATCTATTGGGTGAAATACCACAGTGTGCCATCACAGCAGCAAGATTTGTGACCTGTTGCCACAAGAAAAGGGTAACCAGTGAAGAACAAACACAATTGTACATACAACCCATATTTATGTTGATTTATTTTCCCTTTTGAACTTTAACTATTTCCACATCGTTATAACACTGTACATAGCCATAATATGACATTTGGAATGTCTCTATTCCTTTTAAACTTTTGTGAGTGTAATGTTTACGGTTAATTTTTGATTGTTTATTTAACTTTTGTTTATATTCTATTTCACTTGCTTTGGCAATGTAAACATATGTTTCCCATGCCAATAAAGCCCTTTGAATTGAATGTAGCAGTGTGAATGTATTATATTGAACAGAAGCTGATCATCAGTATGACCACCAGATGGCGATGCAGGACTCTGACGCAGCAGTCAGTCACCACCTTTTTCCCTATAGTGCACTAATTTTGACTAGAGCCCATACCCATATGTCTCTGGTCAAAAGTAGTGCATTATATAGGTATTAGGGTGCCATTTGAGATGCATCCTATAATGCTCTCTCACTCTTTCCTTTATCTACAGTAAGGTAAAAGTGAAATTCCTATACAAGCCCAACATGGTTCTAGTGCGTTGTGGATTCACTGTAGGCTCCCATATCTCTCAACTGTCAGTGAGGGGTGACCCAGGCAGATAAGATAAGATCAACATCTTGTCCAACTTTATTGTCCAAGAAGGAGAAATATGCCTTGGACATACAAATGCTACTGCTCCCATAGAAAATACATAACACATAATACACATAAATAATACACATCACATAATAATACACATCACATAAATAATCAACAGAAACACATGTATAATACCGGTACACAGGTAGAGCAGGTTGTTTACCTGGCCGGTGGTGAATGTTGTCCAGTGATCCACACTTGGAGGTCACATGACTCAGGTCAATCTTCTTGGTCTGGATCTGCACCTGTAGAGGAACACCTGGTCAGAGGTACCTGGTCTCTGGTGATCACCTGTTTACCCATAATCCTAGGAGGGAGGATCAAGGCAGAAACCCTGAAGAACTACAGTAAAATCTCCTGTCTCTGATGAAAATGACTGGATCTACCCATCTATCTATCCAGTTGACTAGCGAAGTAACGCCTGTGGGAATGATCTGTGTTAGAGTTGGTTCCTGATCATACACATTGTGCTAGCAGGGAGGATAAAGAGGCAGAGAACTACCATCTCCTGTCTCTGACGTGCTGTAAAGGTCGGGACTACCCAATAGCTAAGTAACAGTGTTTTAGAGAATTATACTTTGGCTTAGGTGGGTGGGTGCTTATATTTGTCCTATTTCACACATGTTGCATATCCCACTCCCCTGAGACACCCTCAGAGAGTGGGGTCACAGCCAGAGATCAGCCATTATTGACCCTGGAGCAATTAGGTTACTGGCCCAACGCTCAGTGGTTAAGAACGTCATCATACCCATTGTCCTAGGAGGGAGGACCAAGAGGAAGAGAACCAAAAAAAAGAAAAAAAAAATAGGTCATTTAGCAGACGCTCTTATCCAGAGCGACTTACAGGAGCAATTAGGGTTAAGTGCCTTGCTCCAGGGCACATCGACAGACTTTTCACCTAGTCGGCTCGGGATTAGAACCAGCGACCTTTCGGTTACTGGCACAACGCTCTTAACCACTAAGCTACCTGCCGCCCAACCATCCCTGAAGAACTACGATACCATGCCGTCTCTGAAGAAAAGGACTGGATCTATCCAGTTGATTAGCTAAGTAACAGTGGTATTGGTAAATAGTTGGAGTGTAGTATACTCTGGGTTGGGTACCCATCATACCCAATTGTTCTTCACATTCCCACACTCTTAGAAAAAATGATTACAAAGGGGTTATTTTTGGTTCCATGTAGAACCCTCTGTGGTATTAAAAAAAAAATATGGAGCCAAAAAGGGTTCTACCTGGAACCAAAAACGGTTCATCAAAAGGTTATTCTATGGGGAAAGCCGAATAACCCTTTTAGATTCTAAAAAGACAACAGCTCTTCATAACAGAACGAAAGGGTTGTCGTAAATTCTCTTTATGTGCACCTGACGTTTACTACAAACAGATACATTTACATTTACGTCATTTAGCAGACGCTCTTAACCAGAGCGACTTACAAATTGGTGCATTCACCTTATAGCCAGTGGGATAACCACTTTACCAATTTTAGAAAACCAAAAATTGTAAATTTTTAGAATCTATTTTTTTTTTTTTTTTTTTGTATAGTATAGATAGTAGTCAGTGCTTGACTTGGGCTGATAATAGTACATACACTGAGTGTACAAAAGATTAGGAACACCTGCTCTTTCCATAGGACTGACCAGGTGAATCCAGGTGAAAGCTATGATCCCTTATTGATGTCACCTGTTAAATCCACTTCAATCAGTGTAGATGTCTCTCATTCCCACAGGCGTTACTTAGCTAGTCAACTGGATACATAGATGGGTAGATCCAGTCATTTTCATCAGAGACAAGAGTGTAGCAAAACCTAATATTTACTACAATACACTGAGTGTACAAAACATTAGGAATACCTTCCTAATTGTGGCACCCCCTTTTGCCCTCAGAACAGCCTAAATTCATTGGGGCATGGACTACAAGGTGTCGAAAGCGTTCCACAGGGATGCTGGCCCATGTTGACTCCAATGCTTCCCACAGTTGTGTTAAGTTGGCTGGATACACACGGGAAACTGTTGAGCATGAAAAACTCAGCAGCGTTGCAGTTCTTAACACATTCAAACCGGTGCACCTGGCACCTACTACCATAACCCATTCAAAGGCATTTAAATATTTAGTTTTGCCAATTCACCCTCTGAATGCACACATACACAATCCATGTCTCAATTGCCTCAAAGCTTAAAAATCCTTCTTTAACCTGTTTCCTCCCTTTCACTGATTGAAGTGGATTTAACAAGTGACATCAATAAGGGATCATAGCTTTCACCTGGTCAGTCTATGGAAAGAGCAGGTGTTCCTAATGTTTTGTATACTCAGTGTATGTACTATTATCAGCCCAAGTAAGCACTGACTACTATCTGTTTGTAGTAAACATTAGGTGCACATAAAGAGAATGAATGACAACCTCTCTTGTTCTGTTATGAAGAGCTGTTGTCTTATGACAACCAACCCAACCACGGTCAGGAATGAAAAATATACATTTTACTTCTAGCTTTATCTGTGAAACCTGAGGCTGAAAAGACAAAAGTGCACATTCAGAATATTAGCCATAGAATATTAGCCAATAAAAATGCACATTTGGAATTAGCCACAGGCAAAGACACAGAAGAGGTTATGCAGCAATGATACACCCAGGTGATCTGAAGAGAGAGAGAAGGAAGGAAGGAAGGAAGGAAGGAAGGAAGGAAGGAAGGAAGGAAGGAAGGAAGGAAGGAAGGAAGGAAGGAAGGAAGGAAGGAATGACACCAACAGGCACAACAGATACAGTGTGAGTGAATGAATGAGTGAGTGAGTGAGTGGGAAAGCAAGCACAACAGAAGCATACGCATTAGACAATAGAACACTGACAAATCAGAAGGAACATGGGAAAAATAAGAGATTTATCCATCAAGATGATTTAATAAAACATGCCTACTGTGTGGTCTACCATCAATTTACCTGTTTTCTAATCTTGTATCGCCACACATATAGGCCTGGGTTGCAATAGTATCTGATAGATAAAAGCTATACTATACCCTGACCATGCAGAATGCTAGTGAATGTATTGAGAAAGATGGAGCTGTGGTTGGTGTCAGTGAAAAACAACAGTGTGAGTCCATTTATCTTTTAATTTTCACATTGTTTACACTAGCTAGCCCTTTCCCCTCTAAGAAACAGAAATCACAGCCGTAAAGGAGATAACCTGGTCCAAGATCTGTTTGTGCTCTTTCCAACTCCATTGCTTTCACTGTCAAGCCAAAAAGTCTGGCATGACAATTCCATAGAGGTGTCAATGCCAGGTAGAACCAGGTGAGAAGGTGAACACAGGTCACATCCCAAATGGCACCCTATTCCCTATATAGTGCCTTGTGGGCCCTGGTCAAAAGTAGTGCACTAAATAGGGAATAGGTTGCAATTCTTTGAGATGCTGTACATAGACTGGGACCAGAATAGGAACCCTGCAGCCCCCAGTCCTGCATCTCCCTAGCACTCTAACTGGTGACAGTGAGAGAGAGAGATACCATAAAGAGAATGACACAGAGAGAGAGAGAGAGAGAGAGAGAAAGAAAGAAAGAAAGAAAGAAAGAAAGAAAGAAAGAAAGAAAGAAAGAAAGAAAGAAAGAAAGAAAGAAAGAAAGAAAGAAAGAAAGAAAGAAAGAAAGAAAGAAAGAAAGAGACAGCGCGAGAGAGAGAAAGGGGTACCATAACACAAAGAAAGAGAGGAGGGAAGTGTGTAAGAGAGAGGGGGGGGGGGGGGGGGCTAAAGTCCAGTTTAACACTGGGAATAAGCACCTGTAGGAGTCGGAGATGAGAGTTTATATAACATTTATTTCATGTTTATGTCTATAGAACTGGAGGTGAATGGGCGGGAGAGAGATTGGGGTTGTGACACAGAGCTTAATACAGATGACTCGGCAAACAGCTTCCCTGACCTCTAACCTCTGACATCTCAACACCTCATGGTATAACATTAGTACCAGAGTTTGAAATGGAATTAACCCCAACCCTGATTAGCTCTGACATCAGACACAGCCCCTCTTACTTCCCCATGGCTAGCATGGTCATTACATCTTTACAGTTAGAAAATATCAGCCAAGAGAGACCTGTTTGTCTCTCACTGACGGCCATGACACTTTGTGTTTGCTTTCTTTATGTAACCACGGTGACCTTTGTGCCTTGTGTCTACAGCTGAGCTAGTCTGATCCTCAGGGAAAGCTAGCTAGTGTAAACATACTGTAGATATACAGCACAATGAATAGAATAGGAAAAAAGCAACTCAGATGACAGCAATTGACTTAAATGGGGATGGATCCGATCTAGTGAATCTAATTCTATGAGCGTAATGTAACATCCCCTGACATGCTGTATGTACTGTATGCCTGTCAGCAGGGAGACAGGGTGCTGAATCTGCCAGGACTACTCAGACTGTCTGTTCCATTTACATTTAAGTCATTTAGCAGACGCTCTTATCCAGAGCGACTTACAGTTAGTGAGTGCATACATTATTTATTTATATTTTTTATTTTTCATACCCCCGTGGTAATCGAACCCACAACCCTGGCGTTGCAAACGCCATGCTCTACCAACTGAGCGACATCCCTGCCGGCCATTCCCTCCCCTACCCTGGACAACGCTGGGCCAATTGTGCGCCGCCCCATGGGTCTCCCGGTCACAGCCGGCTACGACAGAGCCTGGATTCGAACCAGGATCTCTAGTGGCCTTAGACCACTGCGCTACTCTGTTCCAAACAGAGACTGTGTCTGCTCTGCAACCCAAATGGCACCATATTCCCTATATAGTACAATACTTTTGACCAGAGCCCTATGAGTCCTGGTCAGAAGTAGTGTACTATTTAGGGAATAGGGTGATGTTTGGGATGCATACAAAGACTGTGAAAATGGGATGTAAACTAGAATGGCTAAGACACAGGATTTCTTTCTAAAACAGTCACAGTTTTTGGGCCGGGCCTGCTGTAGCTGTAAGGAGACAAAGCAAGTTTGATTGAGACACAAACAAGAAATAGCAGGATTGTTCGGGCTGCAAAGTACAAAACATGTTAATACATTTACAACATATATAACATGTATCACGCTAGACATGCAGAGAGTGGGGAAGAGAATCGAAAGGAAAGTCAGAGGCCAACAGATCGTCAAGAGAGGAAGAGAAACAGTGAGCAGTGGATTGAAGCGGAGAGAAAGAAAGAAAGAGAGAGACAGAGAGAGAGAAAGAAGAGAGAGAGAGAGAGAGAGAGAGAGAGAGAGAGAGAGAGAGA